TGTGCCAAATCTGTCTGAAAATGGGGATTTGGAAGTAGCTAGTTTCTCTGTGTAGTAGAGAAATCTGAGAGTTGCAACTCAGTAAGGTGGCTTTGCTCTCTCTGTGTACAAGTCTTAAAGGGCATCCAAATGTCATCGGACAAACAACAGTATCTGTTCTACACGTTGCACACCCCTTTTTACAGGCTGCCAAGCTAGATATTGATGTCCTCCACCCTGCCTCTTTTCTAAATCCCTTGAACAACATGTTGAATATCCATCAGAACAATTCTTCTACCAGCTTTTATTTAACCATTTGCAGACTTAACAGTATACCGTTCTCAAAAAAATTCACTTAAATGACCAGACTAGAAACAATTTAGTGATCTGCTAGAAAACCTTTTCATCTTGAAGGTACCAGAAAATCAGGTGTTATTTACTATTTGAGTTTAGGGAATGGCCATTTTTTATTCCACTCAATATATCTCTGTCTTTAAGATCTTCACATTTGTTGAATATTTTCCTTGTTGGGGGCTAAACAGTCTTAGTGTTAAGATATGATTATGCAAAGATTTGTGCTTCATCTTCACAGAGCTTGAGTCATACAACATCACCAAGGATTGTTTATTTATTATAGCCGCCACCCACAGTCCTGAAGTCAAGTCACAGTTTGTGATGAGTAATGATTTGTGCAGAGTACATATGTCAACATGGAAGTACCAATGTCTGGTGGCAGCCATGGCAGGCTTCCCCCTCTCTTCGAAAAAAAATTCTGTTTCCAGAGATTGAGTATGGAGGGAGAGAAGATGGTTCCTAGTTTGTGGCAGCAGACCTGGAACTGCAAGGTAGGGTGCTGGTCATGGAAAGACCTGGTTTCTAGTCTTGACTCTGACATATTATTTGGGGCAAGTGCTGGGCTTGGAGATTGGGCTCCTCTTCATCCATGAATCCTGTTGACTTCTTCTAACTTTAAAAGCTGTTCATGTTATCTTTAGCATGCTAATTCTTTTAATTGAGAAATTGATTGGCTGGAAGCTAATTTAAGTTCTGATTTTGAGTAATCTCATGTTCATAGCCACTGTGTTAGCCATCTAAGGGGAAGTTAGCAATTTTTCTTGCTGGCTTTTAGCCTATTGCTAGACATCATTTCACCACATTTTTCCACTAAGATAGAGCAAGATTTTCTCTTTAAAAGACATCCTGGTCAACCCAGGGAATACTGTTCCCAACCAATTCCTTTTGAACATTAGTTTAACCCGTGATGGTTTTGGGGACTTGTTTGGGTAGGGGTTTTCAGCTTATCCTGGTCTTTCCCTGTGAATTCTGTTGGATCACTAGAGAATGTGGGGCAGCACACAGTTTAATGGCCTTAGAAATAGATACAGGGAAAATTAGAAGAATTAGTATCACATTCCTTTTTTTAAAAAATCCGTTAAAGTCCCTCTCAGAATTGTATTCTGTTCACTTGCGGATACTATAAGTTCTGGTACCCTTTGAATGGAACACATTACTTTGAAATGTGGGCAAAATGACTACTACACAGCAGACTCCAAATTGTTCTTTCAAGACTTCAGAGTACCCTATTTGTATTCTAAAGGAAGCGTTTAGTTCTTAAAGTCCAAAGAGATAAAGTGAGGTCAGAAAACCAGAGTGAGGAGTCCCTGGTCTTTGCAGACTGAGTGTGATATAACCTCAGAGAAGGAGAAGCGTTTGTATTTCCCTAGGTTTTTTTTCAAGATCTGCGACTTTTCCAAAGCCTTTGATCATCCTGCATTCTTCTAATTGGGGAACTGATCCCTAAGTCATGTGTTAAGGCGCTGATGTATGCAAGTCTTGGCCAAAACTGGAGTTCCACTGAATGGAACGACATGCTTCCTTTTTTTATTCTCCTCTGCCTTAGGATCCTGTCACCACATTGGGAAGATTAGACAGAAATTCTGTGCAGTTTATTTTCTTTTTGAACAAGTTACATTATGGAGGGACTTTTAAGCTGAAAGAAGAAAAGCTCCCTCTTTGTTTGAAGCAGCAGCGTGTAAGTTTCAACTTGTCTTGGACTTCCTTGGAGATGTTTTAAGATCCGGTGTAAACTTGCTGTGGTTTGCCTTTGGGCATCAAACTGTTTAGCTTGGCTCTATTGTATCTGTAATTGCTGCATTTTAATAATTACCCAATATTCTTGTCAGCAATTTGCAGTCTATATTTTTAATAGAACCGTTTGCCTTTCTTTTCCACAGGTTCATTCAGACCTGGTTTAAGCCCCAGATTAACGTGCACAGCTCCACAGAGCTTCTGCAGCTGCGGGCAGGGGGTGACACGAGCTCATTAAATATTCCCACAAGCCTCGTGCTGGTTATATAGTTTGTGTGCACCATAAAAATCCTCTGGGAAGTCATCTTCTTCTGAAATCTCCTTACAGGGTTTTGCTTTATAAAAGTTGCCCTTAGCATCTGTTGAAATAGCATATTCTTTTAGAGTTTTTCTTATTGATCCATTCAGGAAATCTAATTTAAAAAACATTTAAATTTAATTAATTAATTTATTTTTGGCTCTGTTGGGTCTTTGTTGCTGTGCGTGGGCTTTCTCTAGTTGTGGCGAGCGGGGGCTACTCTTCGTTGCGGTGCGCGGGCTTCTCATTGCGGTGGCTTCTCCTGGTGCAGAGCATGGGCTCTAGGCGTGCAGGCTCAGTAGTTGTGGCGCACAGGCTTCGTTGCTCTGCGCATGTGGGATCTTCCCGGACCAGGGCTCGAAACCATGTCCCCTGCATTGGCAGGTGGATTCTTAACCGCTGCGCCACCAGGGAAGCCCAGGAAATCTAATTCTTTGAAGGAAAAAAAAATAGGGACAAATTCTCTTTGCTGTCATTGACTTTTAGGTTAACAGAGGAGACTTCCATTACATCTGAGGTGATGTGGAATTATGGTGACAGAAATGTTGGACTTAAAGGGAAGATTGAAGTCGATTTTATGGTGTCCAAAATTGTGTCTATAATTTAGTCAGTTTTTGAGATAAGACCATTGTGCCACCAATGGATTGTGCCTCAATTTGACTGGCAATTTTTTTCCCTTAGTGATTCCACTCTTTAGCTTATCTCCTTTTTGTGTCCATTGTAGTGTTTATTTAGCAGCAAACAAAAGACTAAACTGGTTTTCCAGTAGCTAAGAATTATGTCAATAATCACACCCTACTTTCTCCACTTTCTTGGTATAAATATACCTCAAAGGGAATGGACAAGCATGATAATAATAGCTAACATTTATTCATTGCCTATTATGTGCTAGGCACTGTTGTAAGCAATGTATATATATTAACTCCTTTAATCCTCACAGCAGTCCATAGGATAGTTTCATGCATGAAGAGTATTCTGGTCAACATCACCAATTTGGTAGGTGGCAGAGTGGATCCACATTTAGGCAGACCTTTAACTGCCATCATAATCTATATTTACTCACACTAGGCTTTTAAAATCACTGTCATACCAAGATTGAACTGCAGTATCTCCTGCATATGTAATAGTTTAGTTTTAAAGCATATCTAAAAATTATTTTTGAAATTAGGACTTTATTGTTATTTCTGGGTAGGTAATACTTGTAAAACCCAAATGGGAGTTCAGTGAAAAGGTTCCTGCCCCCTCCCACCACTGTCCCCCAATCACCCTGTTTCTCTCCTTCTCAGGGCCATTAGTGTTACTACTGCAGGGAACCATTTTAAATATCTTTCTTTTAACAATGGATGCAGTGAACTCAGACCATTTGATTAGAAACTCATTTTTCCATTGTTTTTATATTTTTCTACTGTATCTACAAGTGCCCAAACTGGCTTTGTCTCTAAAGGTAGCAAACTGGTTCTGGGGATGCAATTTTCTGGATGAGAGTCACAAGGCTGCAATGTCTAGCTCTTTGAGGTGGGTCCTAGAAACTCTGTGATCTTGCTTTGCCCAGGGCTTAGATCAGGCAGGGTCTTTATACTTTTTTCCAGTTGTTGGATAATTTTTTTTCCTGTTAACAGGAATCATGTCCTCACACAATGCCTGGAACATAGTAGGTGCTCTGTAAACATTTGTTGAATTGCAACTTCTATGGATTGTGCCAGGCTCAACGAGATAAGGCTGGAAATACTTTGGAGTGTCTAAATGAGGTGATCTTTAGGGCCATAGGAGGATATTCCAGTTCAGCAAACCTTCACAAAACTCACCAGTCAAGGCTCTGTATAGGAAAAGTTTAGAAAAGACCTTCTGGATCCTCTAAGCATGCAATCAGATAGTCTCAGATGGGGCTGAGAGACAGGGAGAGACATTTTTGCTTATTAAAATGTTGGCAAACAGTTGAAATAAGAATCTTGTCTTTTAATGTTTCTTTATTTTTTCAGGTTGACTCTAAATGTGTTTCAATTTGATCCCTGTGATAACTCTGTCACTATAACATTAGATTGAGTTCTTTTTTAAAAAAAAATTTATTGAAATATAGCTGATTTACAATGTTGTGTTAATTTCTGCTGTACAGCAAAGTGATTCAGTTATACACATATATATTCTTTTTCACATTCTTTTCCATCATGGTTTATCACAGGATATTGAATACAGCTCCTTGTGCTATACAGTAGGACCTTGTTGTTTATCAATCCTATATATGATAGTTTGCATCTTAGATTGAGTTCTAATCAGAGTTGTTTGTGTTTTTTTTGCTGGCACTAGGGAGTTCATGTATCAAGTGTCACTGATTATTTTATAACTGATGATGTTATATTATAGGTGTACCTTGATTTTCTTCTATATTCTTGAAAATTTTATATAAAACCAAAGATTTAAAATGTCAAAACAGCATGTATTTGCAGAAGTATTTGCTATAAAATTCTTTATTAGGTAATTACCTCCCCTGCATCCCCAACATTTGCTTGAGTGCTGTCTAGGCACACAAGATAAATTTATCTTATACTATTTAGAAATTTTTCATTTCACTTTGATGTGTATTTATCAAAAGAAATACCTGCATTAAGTTTTCTTCTTAAAATGTTTATTTTTATAGGCAATTTGAAAATTGGCAAGAAAGATTTTAAGGCCACTTCCAATTTGCAAAGATTATTTATAATCTGAAGAACTGCAGGCTGAGCTGACTGAACGGGACACACTTTTGGAGAAATAAAAATGGCTTCTCACTGTGTGATTGCCATGTTTGCCCTGATGAGTTCCTGTTTAGCAACTGCAGGTAAGTTGCATAATATAAATTGCATGTTCATTATATTCTTTTGGATATATTTTTCTTCAATCTCTTCAGTTTAGAAACATTTAGGACATGGGATATTTATATAAAACTTGAATATTTGTGTTCTTCAAGGAAATAAAATATTTGACTACTCTACAGATACATAGTATGTTTGCCCATGTTCTATTTTACTAGACAAGTGCTAGACATTCTAATGTCAGTAACACAGATACCTAACTAACCTTCAGTGTTGAGGTGGCTAGAGATCAAATATGCGGTTTAATACCACTTAATTTTGTTACATGCATTGATTACATTTACTTTCTTGTCGTAAATAAGAATTTCAAGAAAGCCTTTTTGTTCTTTATTACAAAATAAATAGATCTTTTACATAGAGGTGACACTCCTAGCATAGGCTACTTAGGAAATATTTAATTTTGCCTATTTCAGGTAATTTTTTAAAAAGTAATTTTTAAAAAAGTACGGAGGGAATTCTCTGGCGTTCCAGTGGTTAGGACTCCGTACTTTCATTGCCGAGGGCCCGGGTTGGGGGACTGGGATCCCACAGGCCACGTGGTGCGACCAAAAACAAAACAAAATAAAAAAATTAAAAATGTACGGAAATACACTGTGCTTCCTAGAGGCCATCAAAATGGGAGCTCAGAGATGAGAAGCAAATGATTTGGTTGGAACATTGTTGCTTAAATAAGAGTGTCAGATCCCCTAGGCAAGGTCTTAGTGTGGCAGTCAGGGTTACTTAACAAATTTGGAAACTTAATTTGCTCTATTTTGTTATAATTTGCTTTGTGTCTCTTCTATAATGAACTACATAGAACTAATTTGTTGGGCCAGTTCTGGAAACTGGCTGGCCTCAAGAAGAAACACATTGACTTAAAAAATGATTAGCCTCTTGGCTTTAGCTGTTGAATTGCACATACAGATTACATGAGAGTGATAATAATAACCATGTATTGAGTGTGCACTGCAGCCAGGTACTGTGCTAAACAATTATAGCCTCTAACAATGAGCAAGGATATTCTTAGTTCATGAGCTCACTTAGTCACAACTCTGCTCTTCACCTCTGCGTTATACTGAAGAAGCGGGACCACCATTAATGCTCTAGTTAACTCAGACCAGGAGTCATATGCAAGCACAGACTGAGTGGAAGCCAGTTTGCAGAAACTGGTTTGTGAGATTGGAAAGCAGAATGTTCTCCTTGTTGCAAATATCTTGAGAGAAAGTTGCTAGTATTTTTTTTTTTTTGAATGCTGGTGTGTGAATTTGAACTGCCCATTCTCTCTGTCAGCAGTTTCATTTTGTCTCATGATTGAAAAGTTATTTGCCTTTTAGCCTGTGTATTAAAACTTATCTTAATTAAAATCTCACTGAAAAGTAGTAGAAAAAAAAAAGAGAAATGGCTTGATGGAAAAATGTGCTGTTTTGATGACAAGTTGTATAATTATACCTGGTGGGTTTGAGGCAGAATTTTCTGCTTTCACTGATAAAAAAACATAACTTAAGAAGGTACTTCATGGGAATGTGGTGAGTTTGGTGGTTCTGTATAGCCTTGATGTATTTGATAGTGAATCAGTTTTGCTTGAGACCTTCCTTCCTCTTTCCAGCCACTGGTAAAAATTTTTTTTGAGTTGTGTACACACTGAAAGCTTTGCTGAAGTGTACAGTAAGATTGAAGGTACAGTAGAATTACAGATTTTATAACAAACTGAGGCAACTGATCAATAGTACAGAGGTAGAGATGCTTTTTTGAACAAGCTGATGGGCCAAATGAATGAAGAAGGGAGAAACGTTTTGTGTATAATACTGACATCCAGTAGCTTTCGGTATAGGCTCAGCATACTTTGCAAAATACTTTTTTGGGGCATTCTGCATGAGCTGAATTTCAAGAAGATAGTAGAAGATAATATAATAATGAATATTTATAATAATTAATTAATTACTGTGTATCAGGCCCTGTTCAAAGTGCTTTAAATGTATTATCTCATTCCATCCTCATAACTCCCCTAAGAAATGTAGGTTCTTTGTTTATTCTCAGTTTATAGATGGGGAAACAAGCATAGACAGGTTAAGTAACTTCCTCAAGGTCATACAACTACTAAGTGGCAGATTTAACCATAAACCTACTGAGTCTAGGTCTACAGATTGAGCCTTTAATCTCTACACGATGAGGGAGTCTTGATCAGAAAGGTGTTTTAAAAAAATGATAATGGGTTTGCTGTGTGTCATCTGTGCCCTCTTGAAGCGTCAAGTAAATCACTTATTCACTGAGTCTCCACTGAGTGCAAAGCACAGTACTAGTCACTTAGGGATATAGAAAGAAATGTAAGATTCATCCTTCTTTTGAGTCGCTTATACTTTAGTTTGGCATATAAAATATAACCAATGCATGGTGAGGAAAAGCCAGAAGACCTCAGGGGGGTCAGGAGGGTGGATAAGAGCAGCTGGGGAGGGCTTTGTGGAAGCCTAGGTGTTGAGCTGTGTTTTGAAGACCAGGCAGAATCTAGAAAGGGAAAGGCATTGGGGTGAGCAGAGGGGAGAACAGTGCTTAGCACAGAACATGGCAGTTAGGTGCTTGATGTTGTTTTAAAGAACGGATGACCCAGAGAACTGGTTGGGAATCTAGAGGAGGTCTGTTTGGAAGGAAGGATGGGGGTAGATTGTGGAGGACCTTAAATGTGAGAACAAGGCTGTGGATTTCATTCTGAGGTTTGGATTCTCTCTTCTTCCATCCCCCTGTAGCCAAAAGCATGCACTGTTTAATCTTAGAATTCAAACTGCAGCCTCACAAAGTTAGACTGAGAATATGGCCTTCTTGGCTACAAAGGCAACAGTGCCTGGCACATAGGCTGACATTCAGCTAGGGCTTGCTCTCTGCCAGCTAATTTATTTTGTTTTTATAAGAAAACCCTGTGAGGTGGTATTAGTTTTACTGTCATCATCTGCATTTTACTCACAAGGAAACTGGGACTCAGTAACTAATAAGTGGGCCTTCCCTGGTGGTCCAGTGGTAATGAATCCGTCTTACAATGCAGTGGGTGCGGGTTTGATCCCTGGTCAGGGAACTAAGATCCCACATGCCGTGGGGCAACTAGGCCCGCGTGCCACAACTACTGAGCCCACGCGCCCTGGAGCCTGTGCACCGCAACTAGAGAAGAGAAAACCCGAATGCCACAACTAGAGAGAAGCCTGCACACCACAACGAAGAGGCTGCGCCCTGCAACGAAAGATCCTGCGTGCCCAACTAAGACCTGACACAGCCAATAATAAATAAATAAATAATAAATCTTAAAAAAAAAAACATTTTATAAAAAAAATATCTAATAAGTGGCAGAGCAGGGACTTGAACCCAGGCAATTTGGCTCTAGACTCCAGCCCATCCACCACTCCACTAGAGCCTCTACGTAGGAGACACTCCGTGGGGAATGAATGAGCCTCCTCCCTTGATTGATTCAATACCAGATGCGTAGCCACCAGTGAGACATTCTGGAACCAGATGAAACCCCTTTGGCCTCAGAAGAGACGTATGTAAGTCATCAGAATGGAAAGACCCTCAAGTAATGGGCCGCCTTTATGCGTGTTCTTCTTTCACTGATGGGGCTGTGGAGCTCTACTGTAGGGTTCTTGGCAGCAGAAGGGGTGAAGTCCTCCTTTAGACATGCGGCCAGGGGGGAGAGGAGCACAGCACCTAAACTGAGCCGGAGCTGGGACAGTAGGTGCCTGCGTGTGGGCCTTCAGGGAAAGCCTTCCTTCCCTGCTTGTGGCTGGGGGTGGGTGAAGGAGGCGGAGGCAGAAGCCACAGCCCAGGGTTAGTGGTTGCTTTGACAAAACTCATACTTTTCCTTCCCTCCCTTGTTCCTTGGTTATTGTACAGCCTGTGGGGAGAGAGGGCCATGCTCTTGGTGAACAAGAACTGTGTAAGGACCGTAATGCCTTCTGATTAGCAATTACCTTAGGTTTTTGGTGCCTTATCTTAGGTCCTGTAGTGTAGCTAAGAAAAGTGGGAAGTTATAAAGGTAAATGCTTGTTCCTGTCGGCTTAAGGCTCACTAAATTTTCACTTTAAAAACTGTTCTGCTACACATCTTTAAAAAATATTAACTGCTGCCTCTGAGGCTTGCCAGTGTTAGGTAGGGCTGTGTTCCCAGGAGCCTTAATAATGAGAAAAAGAGGCACGTATGGAGAATTCAGGGAAAACAATTTGGTGGGAGGGGATAGACTTGTCTGTGCCCTACTGGTCCCTTGTGTCAGGCCAAAGGGGTGCTGCTGAGGGGAACTCTGCAGAAACGCTGCTGGCCTCTGTGCTGGCCAGTGTTGATGGCTTAGATCTTTCCCTCATTCCGTGGTTTCCATTTGGTGCCTAGGTGCATCCTTTTGGATGCTTGCCTATGATCCGCACACACATTTATTTCTATTGAACAAACTCATTTCTTTTTATCTTTATTCCAGGATGTACCTGGAATTCCAGGTACAGTCCACAGGAAAATAGAGATGTTTTTAGTTGGAGCTATTTTCCTGCTAAGAAAGCTCTGAACTCTTTGGGTCCGTAGGACAGCAAGCAGAGACACTAGCTGGTTAATACTTGGTTTGGAATGGAACAAGCTGGTAGCCTTGAGGGGAGGCTAAACATAATAATATCATTTTATTTTTATTGTTTCCAAAATGCTTTCATGTCTAGTGTTTCATTTGATTCTCCTAGCAGTCCCTGGGTGGGCAGGGTTGTTTTCTTCATTTATGGAATGGGAGTAAGGAGCTTTAGAGAAAGTAGGCAATTTAGAAAGCTGGTCTGCCTCTTGACCGAACTGAACGCAGCACACTTCTGCAGATGAACTGCACTGCTGAGTGTTAATGTGCCACTCAGCACCTCTTGAAACAATGCAGCCAGGTGCTCTGCTGGCTACTTTGCACTAATCAGTTCATTTAATCCTTACAGAAACCCAGTGAGGTAGGTATTCATCATTATCACTGTTTTTGTAATTATTACTACTG